TTGTTTTTGTTTTTATTTTGGAAAATTGTAATCAAACCCTTAGCTTCATTTGAGGGTTGATTTTGGAAACGCAAGTCCCCAAGTCTTTTATGGGGCAATCTGTATAAACAATTTCATAGTTTTATGCCTATGTACGAACTTAGTCTTAGATTTTTTAAATATTAAAAAAAATTTCATGTTATTATCTTAAACTTCTGTTTGCTTTATTCTTGCCTTTATTTTTAAGGACTTACAGAATAATTTGCATTTTTGTTTTTCAGAAATGCTTCTATTAACCTCATGACTAATTAATTTAAACATGAGTTTTATAAAAGAGGGCCCTTTTATATTTCGACACTTAATGAAGAAGACGTCTCAATTTCATAATGGTGTTATCATACGATAGAAGAAATAGGAACACACATGTTTCTTTGAAATAACTTTGACAAGTTTTTATTTTTGAAACTTTACATGTATTTACATCTATAACTTTCTCGTAACTGTTTTTCTTGTAACAGATTTTTACAAAAGAAGAATAATAGACACGTGGTTTTTCCTTATAACCCGTTTTAGTACATAGCCTTTACCCTAACTATAGTGAGGTTTTTCTTTGGCCTTAGCTCGTGGCTCCATCTCGTGACTTTATGACTTTTACTCTGCACTTGATTCTTTTAGGCTTGATTTTTCGTTAATCTTCTTTGCCTTCTTTATACACATGTCTGTGTATATTATGTAGTCCCCAAGTATTTGAGTGTTGAAGTATGAAGCCTTGAGCACTTGATAGTTTCTATCATTTGGTCCTTTTCCTGAAAAGGAAAAACAAACAAGACTCGGAGGTGCGATTATAGATGAAGACTGCTTAACCCGTTTGAATTTCTATCAGAATAATTGTAACCCTAGGACTGGATTTTTAGGTTATTTTGTGTGCCTTACAAGTTGTGACTCATAATTTAGTACGGGTTAGCTTTTTGCCTATCATCTAAAATCTTTAGTAAAATTTTAACAATTCAAAAATTAAATTTAAAATGGTGATACCTGACCGTGGGCATTCCTTAAAAATAGTATCTCTTCAAATGAACGACATTCCAATGTGAAGGTAGTATCTTCCCATCCATTGTCTCCAGTTCATATGCTCCCTTTCCTGCAATATCACGAACTCTATAGGGTCCTTCCCATGTTGGACTTAATTTACCCGCGTTAGCTATCTTTGCAGATGGAAAAACCTTTTTAAGCACGAAGTCCCCAACTTTGAAGAATCTGAGGCGTGCTTTTCGGTTATAATATCGTTCTATGACTTGCTTTTATGCTGCCATTCTTATTAATGTAGCTTCTCTCCTCCCTTTGAGTAAATCTAGATTGACCCGCATCTACTCGTCATTAGATTCTTGTGTTGCCTGTGTGTATCGTGTACACGGTTCTTCTATCTCAACTGGAATTAAAGCCTCAACTCCATAAACCAATGAAAACGGTGTTTCTCCCGTGCTTATTTTGTAGTTGTGCGATATGCCCATAAGACTCCAAGTAACACTTCAGACCAGTTACCTTTTGATTCCTCCAATCGCTTCTATAAATTGTTGATAATAACCTTGTTTGTTGATTCTACTTGCCCATTACCCATAAGGTGATAAAGTGTAGACGTAATCCTTTTAATTTTCCATCTTTGAAAGAATTATGTGATTTGAGCTCCAATAAATTGAGGGCCATTATCACATATGATCTCCTTTGGTACACCGAACCGGCATATGATATTCCGCCAAATAGAATCTTTGACTTCCTTTTCTCGCACCTGTTTGAATGCTCCTGCCTCTACCCATTTCGTAAAATAATCAGTGAGAACGAGCAAAAACTTTACCTATCCTTTTGCTTGTGGTAATGGACCCACGATATCCATTCACCATTTCATAAATGGCCACGGCGCAATGACCGGATGTAATAACTCCGCAGGTCTATGCATATTGTTACCGTACCTTTGACATTTATCACATTTTGCCACGAAACTTTTTGCTTCTTCTTCCATTTTAGGCCAGTAATAACCTACCCTAATTAAGGTTCGTACCAGTGACCTTCCTCTTACGTGATTCCCGCAATGTCCCTAGTGTATTTCTCTCATTACATACTCCGTTTGCGAAGGTCCGAGACATCTTGCTAAGGGTCCACTGAACATTTTACCATATAGATTGCCTTGCTTTAAGCAGTACCAAGCAGCCTTTTTTCGAAGCGCATGAGCTTATTTCTTATCATCAGGGACGGTACCATACTGCAAAAAAAGCAACAATCTCGTTCCTCCAATCCCAAGTTAAATTATTAAAATTCACCTCATTTATCGGGATTTACTTCAATACCACAGTTAGAAACAAGAAAACCGAAAAACTTACCTGATGCAATGCCAAATGCACAGTTATCGGGATTTAACTTCATATTAAATTTGTGCAAAATTGAAAAAGTGTCAGGTAAATGTGATATGTGATCTTTTGAATACTGAGTTTTAACAAGCATATCATCTATATATACTTCCATAGTTTTTCCTATATGCTCTTGAAACATTTTGGTAACTAACCTCTGGTACGTTGCACCTACATTCTTTAGACTAAAAGGCATTACTTTATAACAGTATGTCCCCCTGTCTGTTTCTTCATCTCCTGGATCCATTTTAATCTGATTATAACCTGAATATGCAACTAAAAAACTTATTAGCTCATGACCTGCAGTTGCATCAATCAATTGATCTATGTGTGGTAGTGGAAAAGAATCTTTAGGGCAGGCTTTATTAAGATCTGTGTAATATATACAAATCCACCACTTACCATTCTTCTTTGGAACCACAACAATATTAACTAACCAGTTAGGATACTTTGCCTCACGAATGGAACCGAGTGTAAGCAATTTTTGGACTTTTTCTTGAATCACCTGATTCTTGAAAGTTCCTTGCTTTATTTTCTTTTGCTTAACAGGAGGGTATGATGGATCTTCATTTAGTTTATGAGTCATCACCTCCAGCGGTATGCCTGTCATGTTAGAGTGGGACCAAGCAAAGCAGTTCACGTTATTTTTTAGAAATTCAATTAACTTACCTCTCATACATTGGCTAAGATTGGCCCCAACGTAGACTTTCTTATCAGGCCATTGAGCAAATAACATGACAGGCTCTAATTCCTCTATTGTTGTTTTGATATTTTTCTTCTCTTCTGGATCTTGAATGGTATCAGGCCTTGAGTCTACATATGTTTGCCCTTGTTCAGTTGAGGTTTATATTGTGGTGTCCTCAACTGCCTTCTGTGATTGTTATTTACCTTCACTTCTCATGCTTGTATCTGCAACGGATTTGATAGCCCTGGATGTATGTTGATCTCCACGAATTTGACAGATTCCCCATGGCGATGGAAATTTAATAACTTGGCGAAAGGTTAAAGGAACAACATCTATTTCGTGGATCCATGGTCTCCCAAGAATCATGTTGTAATCCATCTTCATGTCTACTACCTGGAACTTTGTATCTTTGACACTCTTTCAGCAAATGTGGTGAGTGTTACCTCTCCTTTCGTGACAACACTGGAATTATCAAATCCAGATAGAGTATGCGCCTTTAGTATTACTCTATCTTCAGCTTGCATCTCACGTAATACTCTTAGCAAAACAATGTTCACGGAACTACTTGGATCAATCAAAACTCGTTTCACATTAGTATCATGTACAATTAAAGATATTACTAGTGCATCGTTATGAGGGGTTAATACGCCATCTGCATCTGCATCATTGAATGTAATGTTGTCTTCCTCTAAGACATGCCGCACCCATTTTCCTTGGGTAATTATCACTTTGGAAATTTTGTTAGCTGTAGTATATGATATACTATTGATGTTTTAACCCCCACTTATAACGTTGACAGTTCTTTTGGGGGAAGGTGGTTTTGGAGGCTCCTGTCTGTTCTTCATGTAAGCTTGCTTTCCTTTCTCACTGAACAACTCAGTAAGATATCCTTGTTTTAATAAATGATCAACTTCACTTTGTAAAAATGTGCAATCTGCTGTTTTATGTCTGTGGTCATTATGAAACTCGCACCAATGATCAGGGTTGCGCCTGTTTGGATTCGATCTCATTTCCTTTGGCCATCGAACCTTATCCCCCATGCTTCTCAAAACAGCCACGAGCTCGGAGGTGCTGACGCTGAAGTTCTAACCACCGAATCTCGCTTTTAAATTTCTATCATTGTCATACCTCCTTTTTCCTACACCCCGTAAGGGTATAAGGGAGTTTTTCCTATTTAAGTGACAATCGAAACGGGATTTATTATTAAAACATTCAGATTCACTACTTGGGAGATTTATGGTGTCTCAAGTCACCGGTTCTAATCCCGAATCGAGGAAAAAATTGATTCTGTTTAACAGTATGCGAACCAGAAATCCGGGTAAGGAATTCTGTTAACCCAGGAGAAGGTGTTAGGCACTCCCGAGTTCCGTGGTTCTAGCACGGTCGCTCAACTGTTATATTCGGCTTAATTCTCTGATTTAAACAATTATGAACCCATGTGCAAATTTTAGTTTTTAACTGCTTTATTTCGTTTCTTAAAAAAAATTGCAACGTTATTAAAAATATGTCCGGAACCACATCACATAAATGCACCCACAGTCCGCAATACATTTAGATAACATTATTGAGATTTGGATTTGGGTCACATAAATGCGCACCCTAGTTTATGAAGGTAATATTATTAAAATAATGCGCCTAAAGCAACTACGCGTTTTTAACTTTGCGAGGGCCATGGAAAATTTGCTAAATGGCATGCCTCGAATTCTAAGAATTTGAAAGAAATAATTAAATGAGGACCATGCATTTTTTATTTTACTTGGCACGACACACCTCAAATTATTCTAACCAAAGGGTTTCTAAATTTAATTTCGAGGGCCATAAATTGTACGTTTGGCTAATATGGCACACCTTGAATTAATTAAAAATAGCTAGCTGATTAATTGTAAGAGTAAGGGGAATTTCTAGTTTATTTAAGGCAAATGTTGAAGCTCGACTTAAGAACCAAATGAGTCCGAATTGAATTCAGAAATGTGTATAACTACATTTGACTAATCTTTCAACTTGATTTTCATACATCAACATAACAATGGAAAAATAGCTAAAAAGAAACTTCTACAAACATTAATATAAGATTGCTCAGAATTAAAAATTATAAATTAACTCCAAGAACTCAACATATGAAAATGACAGAAGTGATGGCTTCCATTCGTTCAAGTGGAAACTCAACATGGTCAAGCTACACAATGGTTGGTATATTTATCATCACACATCACTGGAAGATAAGAAGAAGAGGCTTAAACAAGGCACAAACGATGCAACCAATACACAAGACGTGAAGAACATGATACATGGAGTAAAATCGAAACTATTATCAACATTGATACATGATCTTTCACATTTATGTCACAGTATGAGAATCCTAGTATCAAAATTTCCTTTACAATTATGTCCGCATATAATACCCTTCATTGATGGAATCAAATTATTATTACAATACACAAAATCTAAGCAATAATAAAAGATGAAGGAAACTAGTCGTGATTTTATATTAAATAGATCTGAAAAATACAGAGGTGAGAGAGCACACTTACTTGGACTAGAATTGACCTTAATCAGCAGTTAAAACAACTAGAAAGCCAAGCAAGAGCTATCGGCAAAAAGGGAGACAGATCTCGAAGGTCGAATAAATGTTAAAATTCTCAAGGGTGAAGCTCAGCAAGGCTTTTCCAGCAACAATCGATAGTGATTAGCACTTCAAAGCTCAAAATAATCGTTCAAATCCCCAGAAAACATGTCGCAACACATAAAGGAGGAAACTAATTTTGAAATCTCTTTGTTTTTAATTCCTTGCTTTGTATTTCGATCCGAGAGATCGGTGGAGAGAGAAGGAGAAGATCAGGGAGGCGACTCCTCTTCTTTTTTGCACTATTGCAGCCTTCAGACTTTTTGGCGTCTTTTCTTGTGTCCCTTAGAGTCTAGGTCTTGCCTTTTATAAAATAGAGTTTGGGTCAAGAGGGTATTGAATATGGTATTGGGCTTGGCTTGTGTGAATTGGGTCTTAATTAATTGGGTCATTTTTGGAATTGACCCAATTTTAGAAGAAACAAGACCAAAAATACATTCTTCCTAATTTCCTTTTCTCCTTTTTCTTTTCTTTAGTTAATTAATTAAAAATCCTAGAAATTAAAATCCTAGATTATCTAAAAAAATGTGAAATTAAACTAATTAATTAACTATAACAATTATAAAAGCGTGCTTAATCCTAAATTAAAAAAGAAAAAATCAATAAAAGGAAAAAGTGTAAAGATGAAGTATTTTTGTGATTTTCGATTTTTATAAAACAAGTAACTACCGATTAATCCTAAAAATATAAAGATAAAGCCTAAATGCCATGCGTGATATTTTAGGTATTTTTCATGATTTAAATAAAACTTAAACATGCAAAACAATTTATTAAAATCCTATGAAAAATCTACGAACATTGCAAATAGTGGGAAAACATTATTTCTTGAATTTATTGGAGTAAACCCACATAGGGCAAAAATCACGTACTCACAGCTGCCCCTCTTTGCCCGGAAACACGAAGAGTTTTTGTGCAAAGATAAATTGAGAGGATACGAGCGATTTTTTCCTGTTTGAATACTCCGTGGGAAGCATTTTTTCGAAAGAGTTGACTGCACCCTGCTTCTGAGGTTGCCTACATATCCTTGGCTAAAAAGGAATCAGGTCAGTGTACTTTAGGAATGTCTGGTAGCTGGGACTACCATAAAGCTGTGATTTCACTGTTGCTGTTGCTACTACTGCTTACTGAACCCCCTTATTACACCATGTGAAAAATAAAAGAAGCTAGACTAGACTATGATCTATGAGTTTACAAGGGATCCTAACTATATCTTCAAACTTGCTTCTTGTGGTTCTTGTTGCCTTGTTGATTTGTTGTCGACTTGAATTGTAATCTGAGATGTTTTCCCTTTCTTCAAGTGGACGCCTGATTGATAAACTTGAATTGTATTCCCGTGCTCTACAGGCAGGCTCCTGATTGCTGAACTTGAAATGTATTCCCATGCTCTCCAGGCGGGCTCCCGATTGCTGATTTGAAATGTATTCCATGCTCTCCAGGCGGGCTCCTAACTGCTGACTTGAAATGTATTCCCTTCTCTCTAGGCGGGCTCCTGATTGCTGATTTGAAACATATTTCCTGCTCTCCAGGCGGGCTCCTGACTGCTAAACTTGAATGTATTACCTGCTCTCCAGGCGGGCTCCTGTCTGCTAAACTTGAATGTATTCCCTGTTCTCTAGGCGAGCTCCTGATTACTGACTTGAAATGTATTCCCTGCTCTCCAGGCGGGCTCGTGACTGCTAAACTTGAATGTATTCCTTGCTCTCCAGGCAGGCTCCTGACTGCTAAACTTGAAATGTATTCCCTGCTCTACAGGAGGGCTTCTGTCTTCAACAAAATAGACAAAAACAAAGAAACTTTTCTGCCCCCGTTTGGGTATCTGGGCACACATGTAAGTGTAAAACGAACCACATTACCAAATATCAATAAGAACTTGAAAGCTAAAACTTGAATTATACTCCCTTGTTTTCTAGGCGGGCTCCTGATTGCTGACTTGAAATATATTCCCTGCTCTCCAGGGGGCCTCCTAACTGCTTAACTTGAAATGTATTCCCATGCTCTCCAGGCGGGCTCCTGACTGCTGAATTGAAATGTATTACCTGCTCTCCAGATGGGCTCCTGACTGCTGACTTGAAATGTATTCCCTGCTCTCCAGGCGGGCTCTTGATTGCTGAACTTGAAACGTATTCCCTGCTCTCCAGGCGGGCTCCTGATTTCAACAAAATAGACAAAACAAACAACATTTTCTGCCCCAGTTTGGTAGTTGGGTATATATGTGAGTGTTAAACTGAATCATATTACGAAGAATTTGAAAGCTAGGTCCCATTATCCAGGAGGGTCCTGGAAACTCTTAACTAAACAACAATTTTAAATCTAAGCTATATCTTTTAAAGGCATAACTTCCGCTAAATCTTGTTATCTAAGAAGGTCTTAAACTACTCCCATTATCCAAGAGGGTCCTGACAACTCTTAACTAAATGACAATTTTAAATCTAAGTTATATCTTCTAAAGGTGTTACTTTCGCTAAATCTTATTATGCAAGCCAGTTTTAAACTACGTCCCATTATCCAAGAGGGTCCTGAAAATCAAAAGTCAAGTTTTATCTTAAGAGTGACAATTTCACGGCTAAATTATATTACCCTACAACAGAACTTACTCTAAACCTTGTTATCCAATGGAAATCCTAAAGCTAGGTCCCGTTATTCAGGAGGGTCCTAAAAACTCCGAATTGAATCTTATCTCAAACATGCAAACTTTGAAGCCAACTTATATTCCTTGGGGTTACATTTATGCTAGATTATTCTACTCATGATTGTTTTGAATTTTAATTTAGGTCCCATTTTCCAAGAGGGTCCTGAAAATTTTCGGTCAAACCTGTCTGGTGCTTGCCTTTCCTTGCGGAGGGTTTCTCCGAAACAAACGAGATTTTCTGTCCCTGTTTCAAATAAAAGAAAAATCTTGTTAGTTTAAAAATATGGTGGTTGGTTTGTGGCCTTGACTTTGAGGGCGATTGCTCCTTCACTTCCCATGATAACTGATTTCCACTAGAGGACCTTGCTTGTTTATGGACTAACCACTTTCTCTGTCGTCCTTATCACAGAAAATACCCTTTCTCCATTCGAACCCAATTCCCTTTATCTATTGCATTGTTCATGAACTGACATTTATCAACCTTTGTGTTTCACCGAAAATACCTTTGATCCGTCCACCTAACACCATCCATCTATTGCATCATGCTCTTGTGTTGACGTGTACTGCACCTTTGTGTTTCTCATGAATTCCAAAGCACGTTAATTGCCATACACTTAGTGTGCATGCTGTTCTTTCTTGACTTAATTCACTGGCCTTGGCCTTGAAGTCTATTGTTCCCTCACTTGTCACGATAACTTGGATTTCTGCTTGGAAGACCTCTCTTGTCACTGGTTAAACACTTTCTTTGTTGATATCATCATAGAGAATACCTTTGACCCATTCACCCAACATCCTCTATCTGTTGCACTGTTCATGAATTGAAATATACCAAACCTTTGTATTTTTCATGGACCCCAAAGCATGTTAATTGCTACCAACTCAGTGCGCTTGTTGTTCTTTCCTAACTTATGCCACTTTGATGCGGTCGCCAGATCATGTTTTGTACAGTTGGAAAGATGGTGGCAAATTTTGAAGTCATTTCTCACTTGTTCTGACCAAACAGACTCAGGAAGAGGAAGTAAACAAGACACAAGGAACAAAGTAAAGGACAAGGGAAAGAGATGACTCCTAACAAGAAAACTACAAAGTAGAGATCTATCATATGTGGATACCAACTGTAATGACCATGACATGCATATGTTGTTTAAGTGGCCTAATATGTCAAACAAGTCTGATGTTCAACTCTTATTATACCCCTGAACCGTGAAACTAGCTTCAATGCTCAGATTATCCAATCTGATTCACAACCATTATTCGACTTGTAGTGCCCGAAGGGTTTTCACCATCAAACCTTTCTCATTTTGTTCTTTCTCTCAACTTACCGTCGCCTCAAAGTGCCCGTGAAAGTTTTCACCAATAGGACTCTCTCATTTTCAATTTTTCCTGCTTGGACTAGAGTGTTGCCCTTGATATGATTCCCCTGTACCTGCTTGACTCAGCATTTCTCGAAGACTGTTCAGAAGGTCTTTTTTGGACCGTAACGTGGGCTTTTGGACAGGGTTAGAAAGAAAGGGTATAAAATGCTCAAAACAATTCACATGGGTTCAAAATTACAACTTTCGGAATCAGATTTCTTACAACAACCACAACTTCTGCCCCAGTTTCTTGCTTGAGGACTTTTGGATTTTTATTTTGATGGGACCGAACCGTGAGGCTGCCTACGTATCCTGAAAAGGAATCAGGTCGAACGTAGTTCATGACATAGGAATCACTTCGTTTTCGTACTTTTCTTTTTTTTTTTTTCTTTTTTTTCTCTCTTTTTTCTTTACGCTTTTTATCTTTTTGTTGTTTTGTTTTTTTTCTTTCTTCTTTTTCTTCTTTTTTTCTTCTTTTTTTTTTAATTTTCATCTTTTCTTTTATCTCTTTTCCTTTACTTATCTTTCGCGCTTGCGTTTCTGATCTTTGCTACTGATTCCAAAAGAGGGGTACGAAAGGAAGTAAGTAAGGCTCAAATGGGGTAACAAAGGATAAAGTGTTTAGATAGCAGAACAAAAATGCCTTCGTCATTCCAATCTTCAAAGCATTGCAAATACAAACAACACAATTAAACAAACCAAGGAAACATTTGTAACATCTTTTGATTGCACCAAACTTAATGACCGTATCCACACATTCGCCTTCTACATCTATTACATACAAAGCACCATTGGACAACACTCTCACTCTCATTACCACGAACGACCCCCTACAAATTTGGGGCAAACTTGTCGTTATCTACACCCGATGCAGCATGATGCATTTCAATAGTGTATTTTTATGTTCTATCTGCCCCAGTTTCACACAATTCGGGCTTGAAGTGATCTCAAAATGCCTTCACGTATTTCCCCCAAATGTCCCTACATCTTCAACATTGTTTCGTTGCTTCATAATTAAACTAACTTTAAGACCAGGCCAGGAATTACGTATGCATGTCATGTCGCTAGAGTCAGCAGGAAAAGAATTATAAAAGGAGGAGATAACTAAACAAAAAACTGACTAGAAATAATAGAAGACAGGAAATTGCATTAGACAGACGGTGAAACGGTTCGAACAACAAGACAAGCAAACAACAATAGGGTTACAATCTTGGAACAAACCTAGACAACACTAAACAAGTTACTACGACTAAACGAACTAGGCAAAATAAAATGATA